CCTAAAGCAATCAGTTAAGATAAAAATGAGCTCAAAAACCAAACATTTGTTAGTCTGCGACATCAGCCAATTAAAAATTGCTCACGCTTTTTCTAGCAACAATTTTTAAAAGAGAGGCGAAGCTGTACTTCTCAAACACAAGGAACAAAACGGCAAAAAAGCTCCCAAATGGATAAACAATGTGAAATAAAGAAAAGTAACAGGTAAAAGTAAGTATGGAAAAAGTAAATTTTGCTATCTACCGGAATCAAAGCTCCGACTTAGAGATAAGGAGCCTCTTCTTCTCGCATCTACGCCACGATTGCTCGAAAATTTGTTAAGACTAGCTACCAATAACGCAGCAAGAGTAACTGTTAAATTGAAAAGGATATTCAGCAACCAACAAACAAAAATTAAATTAATTCAATGCGACAGAATTGAACATCTGAAGTCTCCAGTCCTGACATCTGCGCCCATGACTGCTTAAAAAACTATGGGTCAGCTAAAGCTGGAAAAATCTGTTCGATAAAACAAGAAAATTTAAGTATTGCAAAAAATAAACCGTAATTTTTCAAAAATGTTTCAAATGTCAAAAATTGGACATTTACAAGTCCATAGCTGATTCCTTGTTCAATTTTTTGAAGCAAACATTTTTGCAGGAGATTATTAGAATATCACAATTCGTTAGATATCTTAATTTCAGAATTAACACCGTCGTTTTTGAGAAATTGAACTAACTCTGGATCAAAATGTCAAAAAAGTCTTTAGTCTAAAGTATATTCCATACCACAATTACGAAAACTCGAACTTAGATCTTGTTTTTTGATTGAACCCTTAATCTCAGACTTCGTACCGTGGTTCGTAAAAAAAAGTTTTCTAAAAACGAAGAAAAATTGAAAAAAAAAGACTTTGAAGTCCAGCATAGCTTTTCTACATACATTAGGGTAGAAACGCTATGCAGCGAACTCTCCCAGGGCTCCTTCTTTCGGTAGAACTCTCCGATTGAACCTCTCAGATTTGGCAGGATAATTTTCATGAGACTCGAAAGGTTCTGAAAAAAAGCTCAAAATTTCAAAGTCGATTTTTTAATGAGTTCAAACTAATTTTCTTTATAAAAAAATAGGGCGTAGCTTCTCAAGCAGACAAAATAACGGCAACATTTTCTGTTTATTGACCACTTTTTTTTATCAAACTTGGCAGGTAAGCTGAGAGAAAAATCAAATTTCCAAAACTTCAAAATTAGAAAATTTGTATGGCTATGTTTTTTGTTCATTCAGTAAGGATTCTAAACAGCGGCTTTTATGGGTGGAAATTTTATCTGCATTATTTTGCAACGTTTTTTCGAGAATAAGTAAAAATGATTACAAGAAAAAATCAAAATATTAAAAATTGGACAATTTTTGAGGCCATAACGTTTTGTCTACAAAAACAAGGGCCTAGCAGCTTATGGAAGGGAGATCCCCATGACATGTTAATTTGATTGAACTCTTCACCTCTGAAATGTTTGGGTAAGGTAAAAAGAGGCTAGTAGAACACGAGGTACCCAAGGTCTTTCCATCACACAGGGTATTTGTATCAGTCATACAGGGTCTTTGAATTGTTCTTCCCACCAATTTTGCCAAAATAAAGACGCCAGAGCAAAAACATAAAAACGAGCAAAACAAAAAACAAAAAACATGACCAGGTTTCAGTTCAATTATTGCGCTATGTTTGTTAATTAAAGAAAACTTGAATAATTGGAAACAGTTTTCAATTTTAGAAAAGTATCAAAAAAGTTTTCGCATATCGATTTTCTTACCTACCATAAAAAACTATTCCAAAACAATCATTCATGTAGGAAGTTCAGTCTAATTTCATCCACGATTTTTAACTTGAATGAATCTATTAAATTCCTCTTGAAACAATAGAAAAAAAAACATTTAAAAATTGCACAAAATGATTCAAAAAACTAGTTTTTTTTTCGATTGAAAAAGGATATCAAAAAACTTTTCAAAAAAAACCTAGAAAATCAGTAGGAAACAGACCTTTGTGTTTAAAAAATTCCATTCAACAGAAAAATATTACAAAAATTTTACAAATTCCGTTTGAGCGGAAACCAATGATAAGCAAAGAGTGCCCAGAAAAACCCAGTACACATTAATTAATTCAAAATAAATCTAATCGTTTGATTTAAATTAGGATATCATAAAAGAATAAAGATAACCAATAATGACAAAAACAAAATTTGCCGCAAAACGATAAATAACGATAAAACCCGAAATTCAAGTCTAACACCCTTTACACGATATAAGCTAGAAAGCAATGAAACAATTCTGAGCAAAAACTGATAAAGTCAACTACCTACTTGAATTAGTATATCATTGCTCAAAAGATTTTAAATAACGATTGAATTCTTAAAAATGTATTTATTTTATAATTTTTGAAGGTGGCTTAACGTTTAAAAACCAGTCGCTCAACAAACAACAACATGGGTTTTGGACAACTCTTTTCTGTGAAACAAAATGTTTTGTTTATAAGAAGTTATGTGAGGTAGACTTTTATTGTTTGAAACATTCACGAAAGAATTAAACACAAAAGCGAAGCGGTGCTTCGCATCACTTGCGATGTAACACAAGCAAAAACACTGGTGAAAAAAAAATGAAAGAAACTAAGTCTACCAAAAATAAAAAAAATTTTCCTAAATCTCGCCAGAAGTTCTTTTTAGACAAAGGTGCCAGACATTTGAATATTAAAACAGCAACAGCAAAAAACAACCGACAATCTTTGAGCAGACACAAGTTGGGCAGAAAACAAAATGATAATTATCAAAAAAAAAATCTTCAATATTTTATGTCCTTTCTGAAGCTACAAGGAATAACACTTGACTTTTATAGCTTCAAAAACAGTTGCTTACAGAAAAAAAACGTGGTAAGACAATTAAACTCACAATCTTCGAGCAGACAAAAGTTGAGCCATAAATAAATTAGAAAAAAAAGTAAATATTTCTAATCCCACCTAAAACTACTTCTTTGAACAACACTTGCAACTGCAGTGAAAGTTTGCTTGCAGCACCAACTAACTTCGTGATGTAGTAATTAAGGCGACAAAATTTGGGCAGACAAATGAAAGTCGGACAATTCAATTTTGAAAAAACTTTGAGCGAAAAATTGTTTGAATTTTCAACTTTTATATTTCAACCGACCTGATTTATTCAAACTAAAAATGTTAATTTTTTGCTGTTAAGCCGATGATAAATAGTTTGATTAAATTTGATAAACCATTAGCCAAAATCTTTTAGTCCAAATGAAATTAGTAAGAGTAACAAAAGAAAAACAAATTAGCAGTCAGGGTTAGCAAAATTAAGAACTAAAGAAAATAATCAACGACATTTGAAACTAAGCTAAAACTGCTTAAAGCGCAAAAAAATTCGTGGTGTGGCAAGTAAGCTGACAATTCATAAGCCGACAATCAAAAAAACTGCTTGAACTTTCAACTTTTTTAAATTCAAACGACCTGATTTACTCAAACTAAAAATCTTCATTTTTTACTGTTGAGCCGATGCAAAATAATTTGACTAAATCGACAAATCATAAGCCGAAATCATTAAGCCCGAAAGAAATTACTAAGAGTAAAAAAGGGAAAAAAATTACCAGTCAGGTTAAGCAAAATTAGGAACTAAAGGAATTAATCAACGACACTTGAAACTAAGATAAAGTTGCCTAACGCGCAAAAGAAAATTCTTGGTGCGGCAAGTAAGCTGACAAGTCATAAGTCGACTAACAATAGTCAATTTTGCCGGAAAATGCAATTTTATACACAGAAAAAAAAGAAAAAGAAAACGAAGAACTCATAGTTCAAACAAGCATAATCAGCTGCTGTGTATGTTGGTAGAACAGAATTTTCCAACCTCACTTATTCTAGAAAAAATCACAAAAAATAAGAAAACTTTCTAAAACCCGAAATAACCATAAAATTTGAAAACCAAAAAATGTCCAAAATTTTCTGAGAGCTTCTTTTAGTACTGGCAATTCAAATCACATTTTCGATAGTTCGGATAAATTATTTAGATATTCAGACCAATTCGCACAAATGGTTCGCAGCATAAAATTATAACTAAGTAAATCTAGACAAAAACAGAATCATATATAAAAACGAATCAAGAAACGACAACGCCTCCTAAAACTGTCGATTGTTAACATAATTCCGATGTTTATAGAGACAATCCAATCTCAAAAGGAAAAGCAAATTGTTAGGCAAAAATTAAAATATGACGAGACAGCTCCCTGCGTAACCATGCAAAACTAAACCCTCGGAAAATGCTATATATGTCGAGATACGTGACATCACTTAGTTAGTTTTTGTAGACAAAACATTTCAGTGAGCAGTAAAACAGTGTGATACCTGATAGACCTGATGTGAAAACATAACAAGGTTACTACCGTATCTTTTCAGTCCCTGGTTTTTATTCACTCTGAGGCTGCGCTTGAGTGTTTTCACAGTCTTCTGCGCTAGTCTGAAAACCCAGGTGGTGGTTTTTCTGAGTCTTTTGAGTAGCCTTCGCTTTTCTGATGTTGACTTTGATCTCACCATTTTTCTGCCGTTAGTTGATCTCACCTATTTAGTATCTGGTTAGGCAGGTTCTCTTTCCCGGCTTGACATTGTTCTTCGAATAATTTTATTATTTACTCGCGGTCATTTCTGTTTATTTATTTTTTTGTTTTTCCTGTTGTTTTTGATTTTTCCGAAATTCCTGGTATTTCAAACAAAACTGCACTCTTTCTTGTTTCTCGTTCCTTTTCTCATATTGTGATGGTAGCTTTCAATATTCTTGATTATTGTATTGATAGTTTTTTCTCCTTTTTCTTCAATGTTACCTCTTGTGTTTTTTGGCTCGGTGATCCTGCATTGTTCGGCTTTTCTCGTTTTTTGACAGGTTAAGTCCTCCTCCCGTTTCAGTGTCTTAGGATGTTACAACTATGGGTGCCATGAAAGGGCTACTACGCGTCAACTAGCCTGTAAAAACGTATGTTGCTGGTGGAAAGAAAATCACAAATAATCAATTGTCAATTCAGCAAAACAGTTGGTTAACATCACAAAAAAACACTCAAATCATTCAAATGGCAAACAAATTTAAAAAAAATTCAATTTATTTCAGAAGTCCATCTTCTCATCCAAAACAGGAGCTGTATTGAGTCTATCATCTCTCATTCTCTTCACAAAAACATCAAAATAGTCGATGTATTTCTTCATCGACGTCAACTTGTACTCGTCTGACCTTTTACTCGTATGCACTTCTAAATTTTCTTTTTCGTTCATCAAATCCTCCTCTTTAAATTCCTGTTTCCCAAAAGAGTTCATGTCTTCGTTTAATTGAATCAAGTTCGGAACTGCAAAAGGGTCGAAGCTGTCCAGTTTATCCACATCAATCGGCACACATATATTACTCGTTTTAGGATGCACACAAAACGGACTTTTCAGCAGATGGTTCACCGCAGTCGAGACATTTACATCAAGTCTAGGGTAACAATAATGCAACATAATCTCCCAGTCGAGTTTATTGACTCCCTTCATACTACAGGTACTCAAACATTTTTTAATAGATTCCCATTTATTTTTGATGCTCGGATTCTCAATTATGGATTTGACCTCGACCTTCATAGTTGCGTCATCAGGCAGGATTCGCATGAAGTCTTGAATCTGTTTTTCTTCTTTGAACAATTTTTGCTCCTCTGCAAATCGATTGAAGTGACGATCGATCCAGTATATTGCTTTGTAAATCAACGGAGGCGGATTTGAAGGAAAGAGACTTCTTTTGCCTGAAGAAAGAAATTACAAATTACATATTGGCAGAATATCAGACGATACTATTTCTTTCCGCGAACGATGCGCCGAGTCCTCCCCCCCCCCCCAAAAAAAAAAAAAACATGGTTAACAATAAAGTTTGGGATAACAACAAGATGAGCCTTCGAACTTCGAAGAAAAAATAGATGGCCTTGAACCTCTTGAATGTCTAGAACAATATATAATTGACAAATTTTTCATGAAATCAAATCAATTTGAGAAAATTGGGTCAATACGAAAAGATTTTATTTCGCTGGGTAATCTGATATCAGGCAGAGTAGATAATGGCTGGTCTCATGTAGTGTAAAGGGTGTCATCTCAAATTACGTGACACTTGCCTGTTCTGTCGACCAGTTTGGGGATGGACAAGTAATCGCAGATGGCACTTCGCACACTCTGGTCATACTTGCGCACATCGTTGTCACACACCCAACAATGGATACCTAGAGAAAAACAAACAAAAAGATATAATCAACAGAAAGTCGGAAAAGTGTCCTACAATCCTTTTTGGATAAAAAAGACCCAATTTGAGAAAACTGGATGAAAAGGTTAATTTTTTATCGGCTGAGAATTCTGGAAATTTAAATCTTTTTTTGAAACAAGAATACAGTGTTTTTCGCGTCCTTTTCACTTTTTTAATCGGAGAACATAATGTGCCTTCCAGTTAGCACAAATTGGTATTGAATGGAGAATTTAATATGTAAATAACAGCAGAATACAATGCACTTTACAGGATGATTTCAAAAAAGTAGTCTATGCTGTTGTCTCTAAAAACACTTATCGCACTGATAACGCTATTAAGTTTCGAAGTCGTTTCAAAACATCTGCAACATCAGAGATATTACAAACATTTAGAAAGTTTCGATGATTAAGCAAAATACAATTAGCACACATCCATCAAATCTGCAGAATAACACTCACTCGATCAAATGCGAGACAAACAATCATTTTGCTTCCAAAAAATTGCGCATTTCCCAGGCCAAAAAAAAACAGCAAAAACTTCGTCTAAACACGTGGCTACCCTGTATGAGCGGAGGAAATAATCATAATTAGCTAATTGTTACCTCGTCTGCCCGAGTAGACCCAAAGGAGATGCCGGAACCCAAAGTCATTTCTGAGACATTCGTCTATGAATTTGATTGCAATGGTCATGAGACGCCAGCATTTCAGACATATGTTGGCCTCACTACAGCAGTACCTAAAAAAGCAATATGATTAACTTAATGCTAGTTAACGTTGGAAAATTAGCTTCAGAAGTTGCTCAGTCCAGCTCCCGAAATATTAACACCAGAAACCATCTCTTTTTGTGGACCATCCCTTTCATTAAATATGTACCGATTGGTTGGTTCTTACCAATCGAAGAATTTCTGCACAATTAAATCCCAAGTCCATGTACAAAAAAACATAACTCGATCCCAATTCTAAGACGCAGTTTTAGTGTTCTCAAATTATCAGATCAAAAACCAAGCTTTACTTGATGGAAAAAAACGGACTAATTACCTGACGTCATCGTAATCAGTCATATCGATATCAAACACAAGTTCTTTCTCTAGAGCCCGAAAGCCACCAGGAGGCGCCATTTTGTGATTCTTCGGTTTCATAGTGTAAAAAGCACCGATATCTATTTTGTGCGGCATACGACGACATATTTCCTTCTCCATTTCCAAGGCAGTTTCAAACGACAAATATCGAATGTAGATGTCGTCTTTTAGCGTAAAAGAGAACTCTCGGAAGGAAAAGTATCCGTTCGGTTGTTTCTCGTCTTTTGAGAGCCACTCGAACATTAGCTGATGAGGAAATAGCCGCTTGTAGTACACAGGCAAAAGTTGAGTAAAATCAGCTGACATTTTTTCTGAAAATAAATGACAAATTGACGTCTACTATATCGAACAATAGAGTTGTTCTCATAATTTTGTCTGCATTTTGCTCTTTTTACAAGATTTAATTAAGTTTTAGTCGATCTAAACAATCGCTTCGTTTATTTCGACATTATTTAGCCTCGAAAACAAAAACATTTTAGCACCAGTTAACCGATTGATGGCTCAATAATCAAATTTCATACATCTTTGCAAACACTTTTGGTACATTATGGAGCATATCTGACGCCACCATTGACCGTCCGAATTGCTCAAACGTCTTATGACTTGTAGCTCTCACCAAAGCTGAGGCTGCATAAGCACCTATCATAAATGGATCGAACTTAGGCGAAGGATTCGACTGACTGTAACTGTCGGCCCAGTGAACGAAAAGCGAAACAGCTGCTGATAACAAATCACCTTGTCCGCCACACCTCGAAAGCCCGGCTTCAAAATCACTAGTTTTAATTTCACCTTTACTGTAAATTAGATCTTCGGATCCTTTGAGGAGAATCGAACACCCTCCGAAGAACTCAGAAACAGTCTTCAAACTATCACACGAGTTCTCATTTTCGTCTATTCCTGCAGCTTTGAGCAGTACTTTAAACTCCATTTTATTCGGCGTTAAAACAACACGTGGATAATTTGTAAACAGCGAAGGATTTTGAGCAAGCAAATGGATACTATCAGCATCAAAAATTAAAAGCTTGTTTTGTTGCTTCGCAGATTCGACTACCTTGAGAGCAGCAGTAAAAATAGACGGATCTCTACCTAGTCCAGGTCCAACGACTATTGCATGCAACCTGTTGAACCACTGAGTTGTATCCTCTACTCTACCTGAATCCAAAGTACTGTGAACTATAATATCTGGACTGTAAGACCTAATCGACGGCGCTATTTCCTTGGTACAAAATATATGAGATAAATCAGCTCCCAGTCTCAATGCTGTCATGGCTACATAGTAGGGAGCTCCTGAATAATCATGAGAGCCACCAATCACTCCGATTCTTCCACATTGACCTTTGTGAAGTGTTTGTGTCAGCTTTGGAACACACTTCTTGAAATGCCCCAACATCTCAGATTCGCATTCACTTGTAGTAAGATCAGATGTCATAAATATCTGAAACTTTTTTTTCTACCTTCATGGTTGTCGCTTTCTTAAGATTTGCGACAATTCATTGCTACGAGATTTTCAGCGCAAGCAACTAGCTTCAAATAAAAACCATATCCCGCCTTTCAAAATAACTTACCAAAACGAACTTTTGATTGAGCATCATGTCAACAAACGCTTATAAAAAACTAAGTTATTAGCGTGCAAACTTTTTCAGTTTTCCAGATGATTTCATTAACTCCTCCTCCTGCGCTCGTTTGACAGCTTCGTTTTTAGGCTCAGTGTTCTGAATGAAAAAAGATTGCATTTCTTCGAATCTCAGATGCTTTCCTAACAAGTTCAGCCTTGTGCCATCTGTGTATTCAATTGAAATGCTCGGTTCACTGTTATCGTTGTGCACCTGAAACATAAAGTGTCAAAAGAAACACAATTTCTCCAACTGTACTATATTGGAATCACGTGTCACCAGAAACGCAATGAGAGCTGAGCACAAAAATAGACACTACATGTACACTCTATGTACACAATAGACACTACATGTACACTCTTTAAGAGATTATTGAATAGATGGAATAGTGCTATTAATTGTCAAAAAAGGAGAACAATATATCTAATACATAACACCATGTGAGAAAAATGAGTTTTGAAATTCAAGTTTAATGTGTTTTGTCCGGATGATTAAATCTGAACTGTATATACAGTCAGGGGCGGATCTAGGATTTTTTCGAGAGGGGGGCGGATATTCAAAAAAATTTCGAAAATTTTGTCGACCTTTTGTTTTGGTCGACCAAATTGATTTTCTGGAGCTCTCCCAAATGAGTATAAAGACCCCATTTTGACCCCATTTCTCAATTTTCTGCTCCACAGGCAAAATTTTGAAAAAACAACAGGTCAAAAAAGACGTTTTTTGGAAAAATTTGAGAAAAAAACTTTGGTCAAATTTTTTTAGGTCAAATGTAGTATATTTATCCCCCCATCAAATTTGGTATATTCTGGCGCCAAAGGCGCCTTTAGAAAAAACTTAGGGTCAGGTCAGTCAGCCAAAAATGGATATCTCAAAATAGTACAAAGGGGGACCCTTTGGGTCGGCAGGGGGTCGAATCGTGAGGGAGAAGAGCGTCCCCACCCTAAAACCGCTGGTGTATACAGTGCTGATTGAAATTATCCGGAAAAAAATTAATTATCTTAGTTTTACATAAACTTTCTCAAATTGGGTTGACTTAAGATAAAAAACGATCTAGACAAAACTTGCTTAGAATATCAGCAGAAAAAATATGGTGCGCTTTGTTTTGCAAAAATTGATGATTTTTGGACGTTTGTAGTCAATTAAAAATTACGCAAAAACTAAATAGTTGATCATTGACATGATTATATCAAGATCAGCAACTTGAGTAGCCCATCAAACTTTAAGAAGGCTATACTCTCTAGAAAATTGAGCTCAAAAATGACTTCAAATAAAAAATGCGTGTTTTATGTAGTAAAACTGACCTTTGTTGGCTATCAAACAAAAATACATTAGTTTATCAATGCTTTGAAGATTAAACTTTTCTTAAATCTTGTTGAACTACAAAAGAAGCTCATCTTGATATAATAGAGTCAATGATCGACTAAATGATTTTGGCGTAATGTTTGATTGACTAAGAACGGCCAAAAAAGATCAACTTAAGGGGTAAAACTTTATGCGTAAACTTTGCAAAACAGGGCAGAATATTATTTCTGCTGATATTCTCAGCAAATTTTGTCTTCATCGTTTTATCGTTTTCAGCAAAAAACTAATATTCAATTCGAAAAAACGCATTTTAAATTTCAAGTTTAATGCTTTTTGTCCGGATAATCTAAATCAACACAGAGGCGAAGATGAGCTACGCGCCCCTTGCGATACAAAAGAAAACCACTAAGAAAAAAATCTAAATGGCGAAGAACTAGATCAATCAAAATGAATAAGGCTAGTTTTAAAAGAAAAAGATGCCAACACAAAAAAATAGCATCGGAAGAAAAATTACCCAGTAGTAACAAAGCCGAAATTAAATTAGCAGAAACCATTTAAGCCGAAAAAATCAACAAGACTTTAGACTTTAAAAACTTAATAAGTCACTCTCAACCTCACTTCGCAAACAAAAAACTTTATTTTCTCTTCAAACGAAACAGTATGAGGCCACTATGCTGATATAGTATAGGCGAAAACGTATAAAGCTTTAAAAAAGAAGAAAATATGACGGCGAAAATGTTGTCATGAAAAACTATGAGTTCTATTAATATTTTCAGTATTTTGTGCGATCCAGAGGGGAGCATAAAAAACTATTTCCCTTGAAACAACTCAAAATTAGGTCTGTAAGCAGATTTGGGCACAATAACGTTTTGAAGCAAAAAAAAAACTAAATATGCGCAGTCAAGCTTAGTAAAAAAACAGAAGTAAATTAAAACACTATAAGCAAGTACAATGTAACTTGCGTACAGCAAAAAAAAAGCCATAAAACGATGTGGCAACTAAGCCGACAAAACCAGCAGACAAATCACAATCCGACAATTTTTTTGAAACCGAATATTTAAAACGGAAAAAAAACAGGCCCTGACCGATTCAAACCCACTGCCTTTGCAGTCTCAGGTGTATTCATTCACCTCTAGATCAAATGAGCCGGAAACGCAAAAAAATTTGAATTAATTATGAACTGAACCTAAATTTATCATTTCTACTTCCTACAAAGTTTGTCTTCCTACAAAACAGTACCCGATTGCAAAACCCTTGCTTATCGCAAGGGTAAATACTTTAGGCTATCAAAAGAAGCTCAGTTATCAACTAAAATTTGCTTGGAGAAAACGATTGTGTCCTATCACTGGCTCTTTCCAACCCTCATCTCTATTACTTTCCATATCGAAGTAGTTAATTTCCCTTCAAACATTTTGCATGATATTCATTCCGCTCAATTGGTGGTGATCGTTGCTTGTGATGACTATTTTTTCAAATTTGTGATCAAGATGGTGGCGGTTGAATTATTTTAGCCACCGCGATAATTGTTTATTGTGAAACGGCTTACTACAACTTAACTTTGTTTAGTTTCGCCAATTTTTTTTTGGTTCTCAGTTAGATAAAGCCATTTGCATAATTCAATTTGCTCACTTGGCTTAAAACAGGCCGCATAGTTTAATACATCGGCTATAGGTCTGTGATGGAATTTAGATCTGATAGGCGGCAATTTGGGTTGAATTAAGTCGAACAAACCTTTCAACTGACAGCTGAAAATTGAGTTTTCGGTCAGTTTTGTGTCCTGATTTCATCTTAATACTTGGGTTAGCCCGAAAAAAACCTATTGTGGGTTAAGAAGCTAAGCTCTTTCCACTCCCCCCCCCCCCCCACACACATTTCAAATTGGCCTTTTATTCAACTGTCTTACGTGTTATTCTGGCGGAACGCGTGATGTTACGAAGTAAGGTATGAAGAACAAATCTGTTCACAATAGTTCGTTTGTTCACCATGAATAAATTTCCTTACATTATGACAACGCAAAATTACAACTAGTTTTTCAACTGAAATTCAATTCTGGAATTCTGGGGTGGGGGAGGCGGGGTGGAAAAGAGCCAAAGGCTCTTATTGGCGATTGTTCAGCTTGAATTTTTGAGATTTTTCATTTAAGTCTCATTTGCAACTCAACTGCTGGGCACAAAATTTGTCAACGAGACCAGTTCAAAATGATTCAGCAGGGTCAATAATTTACTTTTAGGCCTTAATTTTAGGTATTAACCTACATTGAGTTTGAGACGTCCAAATTCAAGTTTTTAATTTTTTTCAACAATTGTAACATTGCAGATTGTATTGCTTGAGCAGCCATGACCAGAACAATCGTTGTCAGCAGTAGCCTTATTATTATTATCAGTCAAAAAGTAGGCTTGCTCGTCAAAATTTTTGACATATAGGGAAATACCAAATTGGTTTTGAGCGATGGTTTTGAAGAGTGGCTTCAATTTCAAATTTACCATCTTATAAATTTGCACGTGACGCTTTAAGCCCTTTCAAATAGTGCCTGACAGATTTGCTTTGCTATGATTCTTTAAGCCGTTTGGCATACTTTTTGGCTCTTTTCCAGTTTCCCAACCCCCTCGTAAAATAAATTAAAGCTATTTAAAAAATTTTTCACAGGGCATTTTGCATGTAAATGTTGTAAAGACTTTTTCACTAGTTCACGCTGACACGGTTTAATGCAATTTATTACTGGAAAAACTATTTTAAATTTAGAAGAAAATTTAAAACTTCACTTTTTAAGACGGTCATCTGAGTTTCGAAAAATTAAAAAACGTTAAAGCTGACAAAATAATGGATTCTTGTAACAAAAACAAAACTCCTATTGATATTATGTAAGTCCATAGAACATAAAAGCTGACAAATTGTTTTTTTTCCTGAATACGTTTTTTTATTTTTCGCATTTGGTCATTTGATAGAAAAAGTAGAAGAAATTTGAGTCTAAGTCTGTCCTTCATTCTCTTTGGTAGTTTAGGTCATACATACAAAATGGAAAGTCTGCAATACACTACTAACATTCAATGTACACTGCCTCAAAAATTCATTTTACTCTGCAAAAATGAACAAAATTGGCGAACTATTCAAAAAAAACCTAGAAAAATATCAAAAGAAAAATTATTTTTCATTTTTTGTTATTTTCAACTGACAATCTCTGTAGGATGCTCTGTGACCACTTACGGCCCAGTAGAGGAGCATCCGTCTCGGAAAAATTGAGAACAAAAATTAAGTTAAGCGTTAACTTTGTGAAGCTATCTAGTCCAATTTTGTTTGAGTCATATAATTTCGCCCGAAGGGTGCAATTGCAATGCGAAAGCGTTTTCAGCTCCCCTGCTCTTCCATTTAAAATTTCCGGGTTGTGCGCAGGCGCAGGTTTTGGCTGAATGTACGCAAAAACCATAATATTGAAGGGAAGGGTGAAGCGCACACCTGACTGCCTAGATGACATGTTTGGAATCCAGTATTAGACTTCCATCTGGTCAACATATAATGGAACGCCTCAGTCTAAAAAGTTAACGTGATGTTTTATCATACTGGCGCAGATAACGGTTATCAAGATAAATCACAGAGGCAGAGCAATAAGCAGAATGTTCTAAGAGCAGAAACACTGAAAAATTTTATTTTCTTTCATTTATTTGGGCTAATTGATAAAAAAAAACAATTATCAGAATTGTCAATAATACCAAGAAAATGAATAAATTGTGAATAAATTGAAAATTTTCATTAACTTTTTCCATTTTTCAAAAAATCTCGAATAAATTACTCAAACTATGCATAAAATACTAGTTTATTTGGTAATATTGACAATTCTTATACTTAATTTACCGATTAGCTTATGAAAATTGTTATATTTCTGTTTTTCTGCTCTTGGCCCCATTCTTCACTTAGACCATTCCGCTTATTGACGGCCACCATATATCACATTTTGATAACACTTTCTAACCGCAAGCGTAATAGCTTTAATGTTGCGAGCGATTTCTTGATCTACGGGATGCTTGAGTCTAGCTATTTATCGTCGATCAGAAAGAGCGACAGGGTGGAACATAATGGCTAAAACATATATTGTTCTTACTTTGTATTCAATCGTTCCACATCTCGGTTATCTTTTCCAAGATTAAAGTATATATTCTTCAATGATAACAAAACTAAACAAGACTGCTCGTATCAGGGCGAAGCCCTGAATGTTCCCACTGCCATTTAAGGTCTATGGAGCAGTAATAACATAAATTTTTTTTTATTAGGAGCCAATTATTTGGGACCCCCTATTACATCTGCACCAGAATTCCTATTACGAAACGCATGAAGTCAAAGTGGGACATCAAGATAAACTATGTACAGAAAAAATGGGTCTGCTCTTTCTAGACGATACTTGGTCGACACAAACGATGCGCAACAAAAACACTGAATTAGGACGCAACTTTTGTTCAAAATCATATCTTAAGACACGATGTGGAGCTTAAAGCATAAAGCATAAATGATCAAATTGCATAATTAAGAACATTTTCAATGATAACAAGGATAGCCGGTTACTGTGCAAGTAGCACAGAATATTCCGGCCATAGCCTTAACATATACATTTTTCAAATGAGTAACGTTTTTTCTGTGTGGTGTGATAAAAAACTTAACAAAATAATAGAAATTCGGCAAATGCGCTAGTCGTAGTCAACTAGGCCAACTGAAATACAGTTTTTATACAAAAATGGCCAGAAAAACGAAAAAAAACCTTAGAAACGATTTTAAAAAAAAACTTTGATTCCAAAATGGCGCTAAAAACTCCAAAAAATAACTTTACTTGAGTAAAACTAAAATTTCACGGCTTAATAATAGCTTAAATAAGCTATTGAAAGCCTGCACACTAACCTTATTAGCTCGAAATTAGACCAATAAATCAAAAACTTCAAACCTTTTTTCTCGACACTGGGAAAGATTTTCAAAATTTTTTTGATGTCGTTCGAACCACGACTAAAAAGGCTTAAATATGATATATCACTCGGCCCAATCTGTTGATTATTTGTGGTCCCTGATTTCACGAGGACAACAAAAAGAAAAAACTAAAACACACGGAATACTAAGTTCCTCCATACTTTTCAACTACTTAGTGCAGCCACCGAGAGTAATCTAAGAGCACCCCACTATAGGGTTGGGAGTTTCAAAGTTTGTGAATTTTTTAAATCTAAGTTCCCCAAAAAATTTAAAAAAAACTTTAAATTCGGAAACTAGAAGCATTTGAGCAGTCGCATTTGGACAAAAGATTTGGAACCCCTGAGAGTACCCGAACAATACCCAACTACAAAGTTGGTAACTTCAAATCTTTTGTTTTTTTCTCTGCATCTAAGTTTTATGAAAATTTTAAAAGATATTAAACAAATTTGAGTCTCACGCACTAACCATTCAGCGACGGATGCTTAAAATCCTCGAAAACTAGACACCAATAACGCAGCTACACGTGCTAATAAATTATCATTTCGATGCAGCAAAAGTAGCACCAAATACAAAAAGATAAAATTTTGCGTGTAATAAATTGCAAATCATAAAGCCACATTAAGCATAAATTATGCTTTTTAAGAAATTGCGAGATATATTGAGTTGAAAAAATTTTGAAATCAAGATTTTATTATTGTTGTTGTTTGAAACAAATAACTTTTTTCGGTTCACTTGATGAATTAAAAATTCTTCAACTGAGTAAACTTAAAACTATTCGAATGTCAAAGCACATGTTATGAATAAGCTGTCAAGGTGCAACAAATTGCCAATCATTTTTTATTCCCAACTCGTGATGTTAATTCCCATGTATTGCCAAGTGTATCTAACGGAAAATTTCAGATTATTAGCTCTGTGATCAATATAGTTTCAGAACCCTCATTAAATAAATTCGGAAAACTAACCATCGTTGTTATTTTTGCTTCGGAGTTGCTTGAGCGAGCGTCGTCTGAACGAAGCCACTGAATCATATAGCGAGTAGAAGCACTATTTTTATCATAGGAACAAAATTTTGAAGCAATGTTTTTGACAGATAGAAGAGATGCAGTGATAGGTAGCTGATGAGTATAGTACTGGGTTACAGCAGCAGTAGCTGCTGAGACACCTTTTCGACTCATATCTGAAACAAGGTAATCAACAATGAGTATGATTATTTACAAACAAAACAAGGTCAAATGTTTACAAAAAAGTCCGCATAATAAAACCATTAGTTGAAACCAAAGGTTAAATAATTTTTTACAATATTTACAAAACGATCAAAGATCTGAACAATGAGAAACATGTCTAAAAATGCTCTTAAACTTTTTTGACCAAGCAAAATTAAACAACTGTAATTACATTTACATAATACATTACGTAATCATTAAAAAAATTTTTTGTAAATTTCTGAGATTTTTTAGTTTTTTGTTCTTTCAAGGTTATAAAATTTCGATTTGGGAATGTTATTATTTTTGATTCTGAAATGAGTTTTTCTAAATTTTAGCCATGTTATACATAGACTATAATTTTAGTAACAATTTTTTAAAATTGTTAATTCAAACGTTTTCGCACATTTTGTGCATCGTCAGGATATAAAATTTTTTATTTACAATAAAATGATCAAAGATTATGTATGAAATTCAAAAAGAACATGTTAGAAATTTTTAACCAATCACATTCTTACATCTGTTATTACGTAATCATTATCTCATCGATTATGACAATTTCCATACTTTTTTGTTACTTGAGTCATAATTTTTTTTTTTGATCTAGCTAAGGCAAGAGAGGTAGTGCGGAGAGGGATAGATGAACAATGGTGGCCCTCAATAGCATTTTATCTAAAGCTCCAGGCTAGAATTGCTATCCATGACATCAAGGATAGACATGAAAAGAAGTTAAAAAAGCTAGCAGAGCGGCAGGACAGACCGTTAATGAAAGTGAATGACAAATCGGTGAGAGCACTAGATGGCATTGAGCTACCCAAGTGGGTTCATGAAGTGTTAGGTTTTGGCCCAAAGCACCCGGTGAGGGATCGTTTCAATGAACTTCACTTTCTTGCGGACATTGATAATTTTTTATCTGAGCTTAAATCGCAAAAGGTACCAGGTGAAAAATTATGTGAAATTGAAGCTGCTGCAAAATCATACGCTAAACGTGTGCGGCAAACACCGTCGGATAGAGGGATTGAGAAAGCCAGGAAGTATTTGAAGGACAATGGTCTCTTGGCAGTCCCATTCGATAAAGGTGTTGGCTTCTGTGGTGTAATGAAGAAAACGACATATGAGGCTAAACTAACTGAGCTGCTGCAATCGGAACAATTTAGCAAAAAACCAGGTTTAACTGATAGTGTTGTTATGAAAATTGAGAAAGACATCAACAAAGAACTGTTGGCCATGAAAAAGAAAGATGAGATCGATGAGGCACTGTATAGTAGGCTTAGGTCCACGGGAGGGCAGCCAGCTCGATTATATGGATTGGCTAAAGTACATAAGAAAGGAACCCCTCTCCGTCCCGTACTGTCACTGCCAGGGAGCTCATATGAACATCTAAATAAAACTTTGGCCAAATTTTTTGAAAACATTGAGCTGGCAAACATTGAGACAAACACACAAATGGCTCGGGAGATCATAGAGAACATAGATCTAGACTATTATGAAAGTATTATCTCACTGGATGTCAAAAGTTTGTACACTAATGTCCCACTAAAGGAGGCAATAGATATAGCACTGAGGAAACTGTACGAACAAACTAGTCCTCCTAAACTGGCACGCGGAACTATGAAGAAATTGTTGAACATGGCTGTAAGTAAGGTGCACTTCAAATGCAATGGTTTATGGTACGTACAAAAGGATGGGTTGGCAATGGGTGCATCCCATGCTGTCATTCTTGCCAATTTATGGCTAAAGGAGTACGAATATGCATTAATGAAGGAAGTACCTGCGTTGACACAGCTAAATGAAAACCGGAATGGCCTATGCCCTGATTGCGAGCGGAGGGTAACATACAGAAGTAAGGGGATCGAATGCGAAGCTTGTTTAAATTGGTACCATTGAAAGTGTAGTAATGTATCCGACAAAGAATATGAGCAAATCTCAGAAATGGTTTCGTATTGTAAGAGATGTAAAGAGCAGCGAGATCAAGAAAAACCAACAGAAAATGTCAAAGCGTTCCTAAGATATGTAGATGATATAGTGAGGACGGTAAAGGGGGATCCAGATATAGTGTTAAAAGCAGCTAATGAGCTCCACCCCAACTTACAATTCACTATCGAAAATCCGGATTCGAACGGAGACTTAGCCTTTCTAGATTTGAACATTAATGTGGACTCACGAAAAAAGGTAACATGTGGATGGTATCAAAAACCAACGGATACTGGGACTATCCTTAACTTCAGAAGCTGCGCTCCATTGCAATATAAACGCAAGGTAGTTGAGGGTACTGTTCATCGGATTTTTAGAAGTACATCAACATGGGAAAACTTTGACAAGGCAATGAAGATTAATAAAGAACAATGGGTGGATAATCAATGCCCTGAAAAATGGTCAGATGGTGTCGTATTAAGAACGTTGAATAAGATCATCGACCGAAAAACTGACACACGAACAACGGTAACATCAGTCAAGGAAGATCCTTTAAAGGTCAGTGCACCCATTATAACATTACAATACCGGGGTAATGCATCGGAGTGGTTTGCTGCCAAACTGCGTCAAAACGCCGGAGCCCAAGTGATATTTACTACGAGAAAGCTCAAGACTTGCCTACCGTCCCTTAAATCTCCCTTTGCGAAAGATTTGAAATCCACAGTGGTCTACAAGCTCACATGTAGTGGATCTAATTCCACCTATGTTGGACAAACGGTCCGGTATTTGACCACGCGGATTGAAGAGCATCACAAGGAAGATTCACCAGTAGGGCAACATTTGAGAGAATGTGACAGGGATGGTAAGAGCGCTGAGCTTAAGTCTGAGATTATAGATCAATCAAGTAACATACAGAAACTCCTCACTCTGGAGGCCTTACATATTTGAAAAGAACGCCCCAGAATTAACACGCGCGAGGAGTTCAGGAGCAGGGAACTGACATTAAAATTATAGTCCATGTTTAAACATGACTAAAAATTGCAATTTTTGAAAAAATATAATTTTAGTGTTAATTCCCGGCTCCTTGTTTTTTTTAAACATTTTTATATGGTAATCAGAAGGTCAAAAGTATCATAGTAACCGAGATTACAGTCAGGTGTCCCTTCATCACGTAATCCAGTCAAAATCCTTAGAATTTTCTAGATATGGAAATGATAATAATAAAAGAAGATGACAAGTGTTTAGGGGCTTTTCAATTAAAATCGATACGGTTACGTTTCTTCAATAAGAACACGAAACTCGACACGAGAAATCAAACTATACAAGTGTTACAAATAAAAAAATTCGTCGAAAGTTATTTTGTCTTTTAATGTTCCGAGTACGCAAGCGGCGTTCGCAATCTGTATTGGCAGGGAGATTCTCTATTTTAAAAAGCTGCCTCCTCTGGGTTCCTCAGTGCATATGCTTAGGTTCTTACAAAGCTTGCTCAAAAAAATTTGTGCTGGGGCCGGCCGCGCCCTGAATTTCAAAAGCTAGCGGTTGAAAACGATCCATCATCTACAAGATCTTTATACTTGTCATTTTTTTTGCTCTTCCGCTTCAGCGGCAGCCGTACCAGGGTTACAAAGAGACCCGGCATTAACCCTACAAGGAGCTAAGGAGTCCACTACCGAAACATCCCACAAGAACTGCTTTCCAACAGCTCATGGAACGAGCGTCAAAACGTCTGGTCGCTTCTGATCGGTCCTGTAGATGTTTCGTGGTTCTTAAACAGACGGCAGGTGAGTAGAAAATAAACTCTGCTTTATAAGGGCATTCAGGTTTGAATGCCTAAAGAATCTACCTGCAATTTTGAGGTAAGAAAGACCATGCCAGCCATCTTCGGTAACGTCTTTTCTGCACACGCATTTATGCCGTTCGCATATTATTGAGCCTAATAGAAGACCTTGCATAACGAATTTCTTAGTAATTTGTCGTAGCGTTCCAAAAAATCATTTTGCAAAAAAGGGGCTCATACGCAAAAAATACAGGAGTTTGGCATGCTAAAGCAATTTTTCAAGAGGTAAAAACCATAAGGGTGTCTAGTTTGTCAATGACATCCGAGGTTTTTTCAAGCTCTTTTGTCAATGACGTCCGAGAATTTTTTTGTCATTGACAAACTAGAATCCCATTATGCTTTTTACCTCCGGAAAAATTGCTTTAGCATGCCAAAACTCCTATATTTTTTGCGTACGAGCCCTTGTTTTTTAAAAAACGATTTTTTTTGGACGCTACGACAAATTACACGCTCCTGAAATCATCGCGTGAGTTGATTCTCGGCCTCGCCCTCCACATAAGCAAAGCCTCTGGTGTGAGTAGCTTATGAGAGTTGGCTGTTTGGTCTATAATCTCTGACTTCAGCCAGCAGTACCGTACCGCCTACCTCCTTATTACATTCTAACAAGTGTTGCCCTACTGGGGAGTCCTCTTTGCGGTGTTCATTGACCCTCGTGGCTAAATGTCGGACTGTCTGACGTTTTTTAAATATTGTTTAAAAACTTTAACCCTGATGATAAACAAAATGGGCGAAAACGATTGAATTAAAAATTTAAATTTCTTTAAGCCAAAGAATAAAAATCCAGTCAAGCCAAGGTTTTCATGCAAAAATATAAAAACAAATATATAGTAAAATTAATCATAATAAAAAAAATTTTTAGGAAATACCCAAGGGAAGTGGCTCTCTTTCATCTTTTCTATCACATCACAAGTTTAGTTTTTCTAATGTTTATACAGTGTGTAAAAATCATTCAACCCTCCATGATTCCCTTCACAGATTTCTGACACTGAATTACTCATTGAAAACTCTCCAGTTTAAACTTGTTATGGTGTCTTTGATATATTTGCAGTCGATGTTGTCATATTTTAAGTGACCGTTGCAATGTGCAAGAGCGTTGTAAAAAATCCGATTCAGATTTTTGAAATCTGAATTTTGTTCTTCCATTTTTCTTGAAGCTCGAATGTCTTTTTTATCCTTTTTTCTATTTAAAATAGATGTTTTCCACTGCTGGTTTAACTGGC